TATTCTTTCGCTTGGTGTCGTGTGCAAATATCGAGATTGCAGTGTACAAAAGAAGCATGCGTGACACTATTCACCAATTACAAACCAAGTGTTGTGAACTAGTTTGTTGTGAATGTTGGGTAGAGGGAGTCGTGAATCGTGAGAGTGTTTTGTGAGTTGTTGATCGTGAGGTCAGAGCGTGAAGTTAGTCTGTGGTGTGGAACGTTTGCGTAGGCCGAGTTGTTTGTGGGGTATTATAAAAGGGATGTGTGTTAGCTAGAGGTAAGAGAAGAAAAGTAGAAGAGCAAGAGAAGAATTGTTAGTCGTCGAAAGTTGACAGTTAAGGGTTAGTCAGTAGCGATAGGAGCGAGTGGATAATTGGTAGTTGTATCCTGTTTTGTAAAGAATCTAATAAATATGATATATTGTTACACTGGACCTTGTGTTCTATTTGAGAGATTCATACACTCTGGACAACGCAAGAGGGCCGTAACACTTCAAGCATAGCAAAGGTCGTAACATCAAGGTTCACTTTTAAGACGCTATTGTTTCATTACAGCTTTTCGGAGCACATGTAGTAATGTAAACTTAAGGTTCATAGGTATAACCAATAGTGTATGCTGTCAACATTAATGCACACATGTAAACAATTCTGACAAAAGCAATAAGTAACTTTTGAGTAGATCCAAGCAAAAAGTTATTTTTGTGTGTGTTGGGGATCTAAAGGTATAAAAAATATTTTTAATACAGATTATCAAAATTAAAATCCTTATTTTTTGCCGGCGTAACTAGGGGGTTCGGGAGATGCAAGCCGCACCGATGGTTAATATTCCAGAGAGTGACACACAATTAAATTTGCGTATTTATTTTGACACTGCTCGGTCCTTCCGATTTTCATAAAAGATATGAACAATCACACAGAAATTTGCAACACATGTAACCAATACAATACATGCTTTTTTAAACGTTTACGGTTGATGCGTGAGAAATGAGTTGACCCTATAATTAGGTCCAAAAAAAAAAAAGAACATTTAAAAATGACTTTTTGTCAATTTAAAGGGTTAAAAAGCGACTTAGCAATGGGGGTGCGTTGAACGTGGACAATAATGCGTGAACCAATCCGAGGAGGTGACACGAACTTGAAAAAAAATGCATATTTATAGACTACACACCACTCGTTCTAACGGAGTTTCATAAAAGGATAATCTATCACACGTAAATTTTTCACGCGGGTAACTAATCCTATTGATTCGTCTGAAACACTTTTTTGACCATTATTCAACGCCGATTGAAGTGTTCGGTAACTTTCATAAATGACAAGAAGCAATAGTTATAAAAATAAAGAGAAATTAAACTTCCCACTGAAACAAAATATAATATTGTGGAAATATTCTAAGTAAATTAATCGAAATTGTACAAATTAAAATCATTAAATATGAATTTTACCCATTTTTGGGGTCAATAAATTAATATTTTACAAAATGATCTTCTTATTTTTTATAATTAATTCAAATTTATTTTAATTAAAAATACTATGTTTTTGAAACCACCTCTATCGAATCTCAGAATTAACAAAATAAATATTTTCACCGATTCGTCACTAGCACCACCTCTATTATTAGAGCACGATTGTTATACAGCACGAGGTCTTTTACGTGCTGTCTGTGATGTCCCGTTTATCTGCTACTTTTACCTTTGGGATGATTTACTTGAGAAAGTCAATCTTTTCAGAAGTATCTACAGACTGAAGACTTTACTCTGGACCAACCTATAGGCCTTAACATTGATTCTGCATGAGATTCGATGCCACTGTGTGGAAATGCTACTGAAAATGTACTTTTAAAATGGAATTTTGGTAGCGAGAACACAAAGGATTAAGAAGAAAATGAAAAGAGAACAATTTATGGATGCTGGACTCTCTCTGCGAGAAGAAAAGAGAAGGGAGATGCTTGTGTGCATTGCTCACTTTCATTCTGAACTCCAGATCAACTCATCATTGATCGAGGAACGTATTTTAGGGCTGTTCAACTTAAGAGTCTACTATCAGCAAGTGAAGAAGTGTTATTGGTTTTCGTTCTAAAGTTAACCTCTTTCAATGATGAGCTATCAGAGGACGAACTTCCAAAAGAAATACTTAAGCCTAGAAAGCACTAAAGGCAGCTTAAATTAAATTTCACACGTTCAAGAACTGGTCAGTATTTGATGTTTTAAAATTCATAAATGAATTGGACTTCCTAGAATCTCTTCCAATACTCTCTATAAGCCTTCAATTGTCTTACGATCTGTGTATCTGTGGCCTCAGACGGAGCTTTTCAAAACTAAGGGTTATTAAGACCTATGTACGATCCGCCATGGGGCAGTTAAGGCCTTCTGATCTAGCTCTACTTTCAGTTGAAAGAGATACGGTGAAGGGTATTGAATTTGATTAAGTGATTAAAAGATTTGCAACTTTGAAGATCAGGAAAGGAAACATTTTAATAAAGAAAATATAATGTAAAAACAACTATAAATTAACGTTAGACAATTTAAAAAAATAACTGCTGCCATGATACTTTTATAATTTTTGGAATCTTTGAAATATCGCTAAGCTCAAATGATCAGATGATCCGTATATTTTAGGCTTTTTTTTTGCTAGTGCCTTACACTATTCAATAATAAATATCGTACTGTTTCGAAAATTTGCCGCGCCCGATCATGAGCCTAGTATTACTTCCTTTTCTTCTCGTTTTATTGGCATTTTTATCTATTTTTTTAAAAAAAAGTTTCAGCTTTCATGACATAAATAGCATGTAATTCAAAGAGTTTTGCATACTTACCAAGTTCTATAATTTTTATACAGTTTTCGCTAAGTATCAAACATGTTCAATCTGTTTTCAAATTATATTTCATAATAAAAGCATGACTTTTAACCTTTGGATCGGTTTTAGTTAAAAATTCTATGACAGCCTCATGCTTTTAAAAATACATTTAAGGGTTTTTCGCAAATAACGTCACGCAAAGAAGGGCCTTTTTATGCCCGTCCCTCCTGTCAATTAGTGTCACAAATTCTTTACCCATCCCAAAAATAGTATCCTGTCACACCTACAAAAAATCAAAACAATAAAATTTTCAAAATTAAACTAAGATTTCATTTTATTCTTTAACATTTTCCAGTAATGCATTAAGATTATAATTAGATTTGTATAATTAGAAAACTGTTATTCTAAAAGTTAGCTCCAGGGTATGTCAACCCATTCAGCCCCTATTCCCCGCCACTGGGAGAGGCGTAGTAAGAGAGTTGTGTTTAAAGTACACGATTCTTTTAACTTCCACCCTCAACTTTAAACGTATTTTTTCATCCATTAAATAGCGCCAGAGACAATTTTGGCGGCCTCATTAGTCTGGTGCACCGGGATATCTGCCCTCTCTTTTGCCTACCCTCATCTACTAATCTGGCCACTGACACTGCCCCCCCCCCCCAACCATATGAGATAGCCCCCCCCCCCCCCCCCCCCAAAACAAATAGCAAAGCCCCCCCCCCCCCCAATCAGGATATTTTGTGAAAGAAACACTGTCCTCGAAAATAATGAAAACCAAAATTTTGAAATTGTTTTTATGGTAAAAATTAAAATTCATAAAACCAATTTTCTGAATTTCTACTTTCTGGCAAATAGAAAGTGTAAAGTGTTTATGGCGAACCTAAATCTTGAAAGCTAAATTGACATTTAGCTTGAAAATTTCTTTTAAAGAAAGGACGTACACATTTTTAAGTTTAAAGCCAAAAAGATTCATTTGAAAATAATAAAAATTCATGTCTGAGAAAATTTCTTTTTACATTTTGATCAGGGTAATAATATATTAAGCCAAAATTGAAAATAGCTTTAAAATAAATATATTTAGATACTCAATGGAAGATAAATGAAATGAGTGGTTTGCTTTTAAAAACTAAAATAAAGGTCAAGGGCATGAAATAGGCGTAGTACAGATTATTCCTAAAGTATGTTTGATGTCATAACAATGAGTAGAAATAGACAGTGCTTGCTGTTTTGAAGTCACGCATAACAATGTATATAATTAGACAATAAAGATAGTTATTGTGTTTTTTTTTAAAGTGTATTTATTTTTTAAAGGGAATAATTTAATGGAAGCTTCCAGCGATATGGTATTTTTATGGAATTTCAGAAACCCTAATGGTTCAGGGGGTGAGCTGAGTTATAAAGCTGTGGCGTAAATGTTGGATATGGATCAAAATGTGAGTGAAAAATAATAAAATTGGAATGTGTGGGTAAGGATGTGAAGAATATAATTTTGGATGACAAAAGATCGATTGGAATTCGGATCATCATGTGGGGAGAGGCTGGCTAGATGTTATAGTAGTGTAATTACTTTTACATCATCAAACACTGGATTTTGGAATAAATTATAATGGATAACATCCCTTGATAAATATTTGGTTCTAAACATTAGCTTGGTATGGAATCAATGAACCTTAAAGAAAGAACAATTCTATTTCGAAAGGCCGAGTTGGGGTAGTTGTTCTGTTTGAGAGTTGAGTATAACGTGTTCTAGAGATAAGAATATATATAGTAGCTCATATGCGGAGAGATTAATGGATAAGATTAGGGGTTTGAGATGGGAAGGAACGTAATTGACACGTTATGTTGGGAAACGGGTTCTCGTTTGAGAGATTTACAAAGAAATCAGATTTAATGATGGTAGAGAGGAGGTTATGTTATGAGAGATCTTGTATAGTGAGAGATGCTGTATTAATGGGTTAGTCTGTATGTGAGGATTTTTTTGTTTTAGTGGTTGCTGTGGAGGTAAGCTTGTTTGGTTCATCATCAATTAGAGACATTGGGGAATAAGAGACTCTTTTGGATTATGGAAGAGCGGTTATGAAGTAAGAATCAATGACAAGAATGTTAGAATAAAAGGATATGTTAGACAATCATAGTTTTTATAGTTCGAGATACAACATATCGTCCATCTCATTTTCACATTTATTAAGGCATTCCTCGTGTTGTATGAACATTATACTTACCATCAACTCGGTTGTAGATTGTGTAACTTGCCACTGTAACAAGTGATTTAAAAGATAGCGTCCACGTCGGAGCGGACTCCCCTTCGCCCTTAGTATGTGTGCAAAAGCCGTTATCCCAACTACTATTACCATCTACAGCGTTGCTTGATGGGAAAATAAGGTTCACGTAATTTGATGTTTGAGTTGTTGGCTGTTTTAAAGCAACATTTCGACCTGGAGATAAAATTAATTTAAAAACAAACAAGTTAATTTTATATTTTGAGTTATCGTGGCTTTAATTTCAATGATCTTTTCTTCCTTAATTACACCACTACTTTGTACAAACTATTGTCGTGGCGTCTTTTAAAAGCGCACATTAAAATGTCAGTTGACATAGCCCCTTTATTTTAAAAAAGCTATGACTTTTTATGGAATATATTATGACTTGCAGCTCTAACTATATTTCAAAGCTTTACTCAGTTCAATCTTAACAAAAATTAGAACCTTTTAAGATATATATTTCGTCCTAAGTGGTTGTTTTCATAATGAAAAAAATATGTACAGAACAATTTTTTTATATTTTCTGTATATACAAATGGAATAAAAATGTATCACTATATGTGTCAATAAATTAATCAAATTTATTATTAGTTATTATTTGTCTCGGTTATTAAATACCTTTCATTTTCATGTAAAAAATTCACTTTTATATTTAAAGAAATAAAAATATTTACTAATTATTTAAAATGTGTTGAGGATGATTCCATCTAGCGCTACAGTGATGGATAAATTATTTATTATAAAACTTTACCTTTGCAGATATAAAGTGAACATAATGTGTTTACTGACGATCCGTTCAAGATAATTCCTTGAATAGGTTTTGAAATGTTGCAATAAATGTCCATTGTTATTTTGTCCACAAAGACATTTTTACATTCCCCATTTTGTGTTGTGACGTCATCGGGAAACTTTATTGAAATACTTTCTTTTCTTAATTCTAAACATGCAGGACAGAAAAAAAAATTATTATAAATAACTTTATTGTTAATGAAAATATGCAATTAAAAACATTAAAATAAGTAACCCAATAAATTATGAGCAAGATAATGAGAACTTAAAAATTAATCAAAGGTATACAAATAAATTCAATTACCACCATTGCTGATTATAATCCTCAACCATGTGAAGTAGACCGTAGAACTCCATGTGACATTAAGGGAGAAACTAGAACCTGTAAGAGCTGCACACGTTGTATCATTTCCATCTGTAATCTTTGTATTATCTTCCGATGTGCCGCCGGTAAGTGTAAGTCGTGAAGTGCTAGCTAAATGAGCTGAAATACATTGTTTCTGCCTGTTATGAAAAGTTTGCACTTTAAATCATATAAAAATATGTGTTAAATACAGTCGAGCTTAGTAGCATTTTGAAATTGTTTTTAAAAAAAAATCTAAATAGATAAAACAATAAATTACACTATTGTGACAATATTTAGAAATAGACTTTTATGTATTAGAATAATGGTTCCACAATGATGTCCCGTCATGTTGTCCCGCCATGCTCTACTAAAAAGCACTTTCAGGAAGTAAACAGAAGTAACATGGCATTAAGAAACAAACAATTACTTTAAAGAAAGTAAAATTTAAAAAAAAAATTATACTAAATAATTCGGATATTAATAACGTACTGATACATTTTATGAAATGAGGGAAACAAAATTTGGGGAAAACCTGAAAAAAAAAACGCAACAAAACTACGAACGTGTTGGTAAGAAGCATTCATCAGCGAACACGCAACAGAAAAAAACAACATTTAAAAACAAAGCATTTAGCTTTAAACGTACATTCGAGTGGACAGCAAGAATAATGTGACAGAACATAAGTAGATGAGATAAATAATACATGGAAAGTGCCGTACAAGCGCCGTACCTCGGTGAGTTATTCTTCTGATTAATGAAGTGTAACTTGTGTCTCGGGGAATTCCTGACGGAACACAAACATATCGCACCATCTCATTAAACCTTTCTCACCCCAAACATTTTCCTTTGACCTCGGGGCAATAAATGCAACTCTTCACTCCACTAAAGGAAACCATCTATAAAAGACAAACATTTTCCAAATTTATTCCAAATAACCAACGTCCCACCACCTAAGAGAAAAACAACACATTAATACAATAAGAATTTGCAAGAACAAAATAGAGAGAAAACTCAAACATCTTACACATGCACTATATGCTTCAACGATTAAATATACCTTATTTATTAGGATATCTCTTTCCACGGTGAAAAAATCAATCAATCAATTGTGACATTCATCATCATTATTTGAAAACGTGCTAAAAAATATATATGAAATATTTAATGTTACCACTGGAACTCCCCATATTTACAAACATACTCTCCACGGTTCTTTAGGAAAAGTTAGCGAATTAAAAGTCCACAAAGGGACATATTTGAATGAGATCTGACCTCTTGCAAATATAAATAATTCAAATATCACGATCCAAATGTTTTAATCACTCGGAAAAGATGACCAGAAGTCAGAAGTTCTCGGTCTCGCAAGAAAGATAATGCTGAGACCATATAATCACGCCATCAAACTAGAAAAGTGTGAGAAATGCTATTCAACTGCAAACTTTCAAATGTCTAAAGAGAGAACTCACACACCGAAATCCGTTAGTAATATTTTTAGTTGTGTGGAAGTCTGATGTCCTTTCCTTAATTTGCTTTAGGTATTTCATTTCAAATTTGAATTGTATAAATTAACCCTCATTACTTGAGAACAATAGTTAGAAGAAAGCTGCAGCAAACACGCTTGTATTCAATTTTTTCTGATTAATTACAAGACCGAATCATCTGACTAATCCACTAGTGAACACAAAGTCTGCCTTATTACTTTGCATCAATGTATTTGAAGACACATCTTTTTACATGTAGGCCTACTCGTGAAAAGAGATATAAGAGGTAGTAAATCTTGTACAACCCCATAAAAAAAAATCCTAATAAATATCATATTAAGATAGAGAGAAAAAACATATTAAAAATCAAATTAAGATAGAGGAAAAAAAAAGAAAAGTAAAAAAGCCATCTAAAGTTTTAACAGTTGTATAATGTTAAGAGTGCAATTAAAACCATGGCTCCAATAAAGATGTTATGTTCTCATCTTTCTCACTAAATTCTTTCTAAATGTAAGCAAATGAAATCAACATATCCGCTTTTACTGCCACGCGTACACGTCACCACATGATGAGAGAAAATAAATGAATGGAAATAAATTTAAAAGGTTTGAAGTATGGTAACTTGTGAATGGAAGAGCATCTAGGCCAATGTAGGATGAGGGAGGAAATTAAAAAAAAAAAATAGTCCTGTAACTCTCATAGAATATGAAAAAATCAGATGTCATCACAACATGGTTACTACGAATCTCAATTGGTAAGTTTAAATGTTTCTTTAAAGTATATGAAGAAAATGTTGGCTTTTGTTTTTCGTTTACATTTATGAAAATTAGAATATTTCATTGGTCTTACAATTACTTTTATGCTTTGGTCATTATTAATAATAAGCAGTCAGGATTTTATTAAATGTACAAATTGGGAATAAAATACTCATACTCATTCTGTAAATTTCTTCTTAATTATAAAGTGTGCAGTGAGATATGGTTTAAAGATTATAAGAGTTGACAAAAGGATTTGAGTAAAAAAGATAAGGAACACGGAGACATTAAAAATACAATAGATGGAGGGGTGAATGAAGATATGAGGTTAAGATAAAGGTGGCTAATGGGATAGATTTATGATGAGTATTATGAGTTAAAGTCAGAAAAACAAGATATTAAAAAGTTTAAAAAGGGAGAAAAATGGGTTGATATGTTGATAATAAGTAAATGATGATTGTCTGGTGAGTTAGTTTGAAAGAGAATGTGTGAGAGTGTAGACATGTTTGAGCGGGGTATAGTCCAAATCTAGGGTTTTAAATCTTTTACTTTCAGTGCTTATTAATAATAAACCTACCATACTGACAAGCTGGACCAAACCATCCAATATCACATCCATTAGGACAGGCACCATTGGTAACATCACAAGCTGCATCATTCTTACAGTGACATTTGTACTGGCAGTCGGCACCAAGCCATTTGTTGAAACCGCCTGATGTAGTGCATGCTTTCATAGACAATTGATTCAAATACATTATTTATCTTACAATGCCCCATAAAACATGTTACAATACACATTTGCTTTTAAAAATACGCGATTACAAGAAAACAAAAATATAACGAATATTAATAAAACTGACACTCAATTTAAACAGAGATACTACTGTCAATGCATAACAATAATTATTGAATTGAAAATAAAGGTATTTGACACCAGCTGGACTAATTTAACCAACACTTCAACAAAAATAAATTCTATTTAACAAACAGTATATATCAGATTGTCTTCTCTTTTATCTAGTAATACGAATGAAAAGAACAAAGTTTTGTTATTTTAGATCAACTTACATTGTGCGGACATGTAGATAACGGACTGTAGCAGCATGGAAAAATACCATGAACCTATTAATGCCATGATAATTTTATCACGATATTTCTGATGTTGTGATCTACAAAAAAATGAAATAAGTTAAAGTTACATTAGGCAAAATTCTCATAAGTAAATTAGAAATTGACAACAAATTTTCTTAAAAAGTTAAAATGAACTTAATGTTAAAAATTTTCAACGTCTCAGTTTCCTCATCTTAAGAATGAAATCTGTTTAAAATGAAATCTGTTTTTATTGAAATCTTTTAAAAAATAAATATGCTTTTTATGAAATCTATTTACAATATAATGATTTGAAAATGTCGTGTATTTATTTATTTTTTTATGATTAAGTAATATTGTTTTCTGTGTCATTAAGAATAATCTTGTGCAGATTATTAACAATAAATTATACTGACAAATTATTGTATTAACCTGTGTGAAAAGACTAGATATTTACAATAATTTAAGATACAAAGCATAAGATAAATCTGAGATGAAAAAGTCTGATTTATAATTGATACAGATATTTATTCTTATGGTCCTACAACTGATTTTTATGTTTCTTGCTGTCGGAAATAGAGTTGAGAAAAACAGCTGATTTCAATTTTTTTAAAGACTGTCCACTTCAGGTTGAAATGATTAACCATGTACTTACAGGTCAAATGGATAATATGCTTTAATTTAATTATTAATCTCTTCAGATCTTCTCTTATCACAAATTCTTTCTGTATCTTTGCAATCACATTTCATACCAATATCCGGCATCCTTCCGTCTCGTGAGACGATGGTGCATCACCGTTGGTTTGGGTTGCATTTTCTCGAGTGGCTGTGCAGTCCTATCCTTGAGTGACAGTCTTTACCACAGTTTTTACACACGAGTTCCGTGCTTCCAAATGTTTTGGCCTTTCTCCTAGCTCTTCTGTCTGCAGCCTCTTCCATTCTTCGTTCCTCGGCTACCATGACGCCCTCTTTGACAACTGTGCGCCACGTAGATCGGTCTTTTGCCTTACACTCCCAGTCACTTGTATGTATTTTGGCTGCTTTCATGTCCCTTTGACAGACATCTTTAAATCGCAGACGTGGGCGACCTGTTTTCCTCTTTCCAGAAGCAAGTTCACCATATAGGAGGTCTTTCGGAATGCGGCCGGGACTCATTCATTAAATCGCAGACGTGGGCGACCTGTTTTCCTCTTTCCAGAAGCAAGTTCACCATATAGGAGGTCTTTCGGAATGCGGCCGGGACTCATTCTTTTAACATGACCTAGCCATCTCAGGCGTCTTTCACTAAGGATTGTGAACATGCTTTGGCTATTCGCACGCATTAGGACCTCGCTATTAGTCACTTTTTCTTGCCATTTAATACCAAGTATGCGACGCAGGCATCTCATATGGAAGCTATTAAGCTTGCGCTCTTGGGATGTATAGGTGGTCCATGTCTCGCTCCCGTATAGTAGTGTACTGATGACACAAGCTCGATATACGCACAGTTTGGTTTTCTCCGTTAGCTTGGTGTTTTGCCAGACCCGTTTATTTAGTTTAGCCATTGTGGCAGCTGCCTTGCCGATTCTGCTGTTAATTTCTTCTTCAATGGACAGTGTATTGGAGACCTTGGACCCCAAGTAGGTGAAACTGTCCACAACCTCCAAGTTTTCATTATCGATTTTTATGTTAGGTGGAGGTCGAGTGTCTTGGGCCATGATGTTTGTCTTTTTCAAGCTGATTTGCAGACCAAATTCTTTGCAGGC